CATATTTGAAGAACGGTGTATTTTACGAGTGCATGGAATCAATTTTGACTGGCACCAATATTTAAATCCAAAAAAATTAATTATAAAGCAAATTATATAACCCACCACCAATACATATATACTACACACATACACGTATATATATAATTATACCAACGAATTCATATGTGTATAAATATGGTCATATATATAAAAGAAAACCCGTGAATGGATGTTAACGTAATGAAGTACCACCACCACCAATCATCCCACCCACCTGTATCAAATAAATCAAGCAAAGAAGATGATTTATTTTCCAAAACTACTCCCCTATTTAGACTATTGGAGACACGTTATTAAATAAAGTATTAAATTATTACACACATTACGTAAATTATTACACATACGTACTTAAGTTATTTTACAAATTCCAAAAAAAAAGTTCTGTTGTTTTGGTAGGAATATTTAACAATTATTCGAGTCGGATATCTAAATGTTTATCCCCTCTCCTCCATCGTTGCATATAACTTGTGTACATAATGTTTCTTCGCCGAATCACAACTAAATAGAATTTAATGCGAATATATTCTTAGACAAGCGTTGAGTTGTTATTTTAAGTAAAAAACTATGTGTTTTGTTATTGTAGTGGCAGAGAAAAGTTCTATTGTGAAGGTCGCCTATTGAAACCCCTTCAGGAGTCCATTGATATACACATATATATCCCAACATTTCAACCCAACACCCTACTGAGTCTTCAGTTATGCACCCAATTTTTTATTAATAGAGGTGCACTGCATTCATCCAAATCTTTGTAAATAAATTTTCCACAACAACCTATCCCCCGTCAAGATCTCTCACATTATATCCCCCCACACAGATCAATCGATCTACCTACCTACCACCACCTACCCCCACCAGCAGCTCCAATAACTAAACTATCTTGTACATAAACATTTTAAATAATTTGTACAATAACAATGTTTGTGTAGTTTTGTAAAAAAAAAAATAAATAAATAAAGTTATTAATATTGAAATCTAGTGTAGTTTGCAATAAAAAAAGGTTTACTAAATCAAATCCGGATTAATATTAAGTTATGACGAATATGCAATAAATTTATTGAGATGATGATATTATTGTATCACGCAATGGCTTCAAACTCACTAACTTATATAAATATGTATAATATTAACAAATATAAATTATTAAAAATAATGAATTTTATACAGTGGTAAAAAAAGAGAGGACATTATTTTTAGAAAAAAAAAATAGTAGAATAATTTGAAATTTTAAATTAATTTAAACAGAACCAATCAGACACACGTTAAGCCCTACCGGTCTATGGTTAAGAATGTGTTATTCAAAATTCAATTTTTCCAATAATTATGGAGAAAATCTAGCGGATTATGAAAGTAGAGCTAAAACAAGTAAAAGACCATCTTAGTTCTGACGGGTCAAACTTTTAATATCCTTTTCCATTTGGAAGAAACTTGAAAATTTAAAAGAAAAAAAAAAACCGAAATAAACCGTTTACGAAGACCTGGACCTGCATAAGTAATTTTTTGCCTTATGCTATAGAACCAATTCGGAACTTCAAGTACGAAATTTGTAACAATTCTGGTGAATAATGGCGGTAATATCAACTTACCGAATGTCATCAAAAAACAAAATATCATCAAAATACCGAATAAAGTGAGCTACCGTTGTAAGGGGCCTATAGACCTGCATCGACAATTTTCTATCGTGGGTTGTGTTACCCATTATGACCTCAAAATACGAAATTTAAAACAATTCCGGCAAATAATGTCGCTAAAATCATTAAAATACCGATTACGGGGAGGTAGCGTTATATGGAGCCTATACAAAGACGTGGACCTGCATAGACAATTCTCTATCATGGGTTGTAGCACCCATTAAGATCTTCAAACACGAAATTTGTAACAATGGACCTGCATTGACAATTTTCTGTCATGGGTTGTAGCGCCTATTACGACCTTCAAATACGAATTTTGAAACAATGCCGGTGATTAATGTCGCTAAGGTCAAGAAAATCCCGAATATCGGGAGATAGCGTTATATGGCAGCTATACAAAAACGTGGACTTGCACAGACAATTTCCTGTGCAGAAGAAATTTGAAACAATTCCTGCAAATAATGTCGCTAAAATCATCAAAATACCGAATATTGAGAGGGTTATATAGGTACAATGAGATGGTCCTGCATAAGTAATTTTTCGTCATGGGTTGTAGTATCCATTACGACCTTCAAATACAAAATTTGAAACAATTCCGGTGATTAATGTCGATGAATTCCTAAAAATACCGAATATTGGGAGGTACCGTTATATAGGAGCTATACGAAGACGTGGGCCTGCATCGACAATTTTTTGTCATGGGTTGTGACCTTCAAATGCGAAATTTGAAACAATTCCGGTAAATAATGTCGGTTAAATCTTCAAAATACTGAATATTGGGAGGTACTGTTATATGGGGGCTATATGAAAATGTGGATGTGGATTTACGAACTTAAGCTGCCTACTGGCAAAATACACGTGTGTGAAAAATTTTAGCCTTCTATCTTAATTCGTTCGTGATTAAAGCAGACAAATGGACATTGCAACTCGACGTAGAATTTTACGCTGATCCAGATTATATATACTGTGTAGGATCTAATATGAATATTTGGGGAGTTACAAACGAAATGACAAAGTATTAATTATCGGTGTATCGGTCTTTTAAAAATTTCTGCAATTTTCGCGTCATGATTCCTTTAAGGTATATAATGTCTTCGGCAAAAGTGCACATAAAATTACGAGAAATATTTTGGCCAATATTTTAACCCTTAGAAGAGTTCTTTTAAATGCAATCCAGTAAAAATCGTAGTAAAAACACATCATTTTCACTTTTAGTACATAAAGTTTGGATGTGATTTTCTTAAAAACTGTTGTACCTAGATATATAGTTTATTCTGAGATTTATAGCGAAATTTTGTGTAGAATATTTCTTCTTCTTAGACCTTCTGAAATTTGATGCTACTTTCAGGCGTCAGCTCGAAAAAGGACATGGAAAGATTGGTAATAAAATTGAGGCAATATTTTCGGTTTCTTTTGGGACATTGGATGTAAATATTTTTATGATAAGCAGAGGAGATAGAATTTTCTTTTCTATGGTGACCTATGGTGATAAGGAATATTTTTGTCTTTAATATTATCTTTCTAAAATAATATTTTGAGGGAGAATTTTACATAAAGTCATATGAGGTATGTAAAATGAACAAAAAAACAGACCAAACACATAATTTTCCCTGCCAGATTATAAATTTCGAATGTAATTTTCTTAAAATCTATTGTACCTACATATGGGGTTTATTCTGAGATTTATGGTGAAATTTTGTGTAGAATATTTCTTCTTTTGACACCTACCGTTTAAAATGAAATTTTATCCTACTTTCAGGCGTCAAATCGAAAAAGGCGGAAAAATTGATAAAAACAATGGGGTAATATTTTCGATTTCTTTGGAATCATTGATGATAAAATTTTGGGGGTATGCAGAGGAGATTTGGGGGTATGCAGAGGAGTTTTCTTTTCTATGGTGACCTATAGTGAAATTTGATGAGGAATATTCTTGTCTTTGACGTCATCTTTCTAAAATGATATTTTAAGGGAGAATTTTACATAAACACATATGAGGTATGTTAAATGAACGAAAACAAGCAACACATAATTTTCCCTGCCAGCATATAAATTTCGTATGTAATTTTCTTAAAATTTATTATATCTACATATATAGTTTATTCTGAGATTTATGGTAAAATTCTGTGTAGAATATTTTTTCCATTTACACATTTCGCCTAAAACGAAATCTTATGCGACATCAGGCGTTACATCGAAAAAAGTCCCAGGAAAAATGAATCGAAAAATTTGGGAATATTTTCGATTATTTTGCATCAAATTTATTTATGATATTCAATGGAAATACAGATTTCTTTTCTTTGGTGACTTATGGTAGAATTTGATGAAGAATACATTTGTCTTTGAAGTTATCCTTCTAAAATTATGCTTTATAGGAGATTTTTGCACATACTCAAACACATTACGGCTTTAAGCCTAAAATTTGTTTTTAATATATATGAGTTCCTGGCGTTCGGTTATGATTTCGACTTTTGATGTCGTCTAGGATCTGTAGTAGAATTTTATGACAAATAATATTGTAGGATATTTTGACTTGTTACGATGTCTGATGTTTTAAACATATTTTTTTAAAAAAATAGTCAAAAAGATTTCTCTGTTGGCTCGTTTGGGGGTTAAAATACCGAAATAATCCTCGCCTGTTTATCTGCAATGTTGCCAAAGCCAAAATATCCCTAAAATGCACAGATTTCAAAGAATCTTAATATGAAAATTCCCAAAAAGTGTGGAAGGAGGTTGAAACTTGCCTCAATGACAATGCCGGTCTGTTCTGCTTTAATCCTCAAAGCGCATCTTGCCTAGAGAGTAAGGACTTATCGGTACTAACAAACGATATATTGATATATCCGTAGGGTCAATCTTTGACTAGAGGTCGATGCATGGATAACTGTATCTATGCCCTCTTCCCCATCTGTCAAGGGAGCCTCCCAGAAATTAGCAAAAATGCTGTCCTGACTTAGCCCAAGTGGCCCCACATCCGCAATAAACTTTTTTTATTAGATCTAGAGTCATGTCATTCCCGAATTTCCCATAAAAAATTTCTCTCTTAAGTAAAAGTTATTCTCTCTCTCTCTTCTTCTATGAGCCACTGTATAAATATAAATGACTATATGTATGTTTATCTGTAATATTGTGTATTATTGCAGTGCAAGTATGTGTTTTTCCTAGCTTAAGTTAAATAACCCCACAGAAAATTCTAAATTAAATAATTAGATTAAAATAAAAAAAAAATTAGAAAACTAAATTAAAACCATATTTTAATAAAAAAAACACCATGAATATGATGTTGTTGATGATATGAGCACCTGTTGAAATTGTTAATGAATAATTTTACAGATGTTGGCATGATAATGATGCAGACTGGAATGGTGAATCAAGGCATTACCTCAGCCATTAATCAAATGGAGGGTAGGATTTTAATAAAACACACGCACATTTGTTTGAATTAGCTACTTAAAAACATTTCTAAGCGTTTATAGCCAAAAGCTAATCAAGTTGACAATAAAATTTAAAAAACGAATTAATAAAAATTAATTAATAACTGCTAAATTTGTTTTTAACAAATTAAATTCCAACTAGTCTTCCTTTTCATAATGCCCCCCTGCTGCCCGCCCTATTTCAAATTATGCGTTCCAAATTTGAAAAAAAAAAAAATTCTAAATTGCTAACATTTTGTATGCTGCTCAAAAGAAAACAAAAAACCAAAAATAATTTATATTTTTGCTGCCTTCTACTTTCCGCTATTATTACTTCGTAATTAAAAATAATAAAATCTATTAATTTATTATTAAATCAAAACCAATTTATAATTATAAGTAACTGTAACTAAGCCCATCGTTCCAATAAATTTTATTATAATTAATTAATTGCGAGTAAAAATGCAAGCTAATACTCTATGACATACATAAATAGATATGCCTCTTGGTATTCTCTCTCCGCTAGGCTATGATAATAATTATATTAAAAGTGATATTAAACAACATAATAATGATAGTATTTTTTTCTATAAATACAAAGGAAATAGTTTAATTTATATGTATCTAAAACAAATATCTTAAATAAGAATAACAAAATAATTTGCCGCCAGCCAACCAACACCAAACGAACAAAATTTTTATACAAATAACAATATTTTTATTTATGTGTGTGTGAGTGAGTTTTAGAGGATTGATTGTCAAGTACAGTCATATGGAGGTATATGAAAAGAAGAAAAATTTCTGGGATTGATATTGGAAATTAATAAAAACTGCAAATAAAAAATTCACAGAATTCAATGGGAAAATTTAACTGAAATTGTCAAAATACCGATTAGAGCAAGGTATAATTATATGGGGCTATAAAAAATCCATGGAAAAAGTGAAGGTGAAATCATCATTCAATTCTCATATGGGGGTCTAGGGAAAGAAGGCAATTTTTAAACAGAGGGAGTAGAAGTTATTACAAATTTCAGTAATAAACTCCACAGAACTCTATAAGTAAGTTTTTTTTTTTTTCGATATCAACCATGGCAGAAAAATACAGGTAGATGCATCAACGCTTGGGACCATTGATTTGTCAAAATAATTTAAATATTTTTTCCAATATAAGTAGATTTTTAAATGTTTTCTTATAAGGCGTTATTCGGAGGTTATTATAATTCGCGTTTTTCAACAATTTTTACAAATTTAAATAATTTTTCATTCAACATTTTCACTTCCAAAATTGGTTTGACAGTTCATTACCTCAGCAGCTGTGTCGATGCGTCTACCTATATTCTTCTACGATGATATCAACACAATATCGAATGACGCTATATACAAAAATGGACAATGCCAATAATGTCGAATTTAAATGAAAAAAAAAATCAACGAGAAAGAATGGTTAAAGTTATCAGCATACCAAATTTTGAAGGAAAAATAGCTACGGGACTAAGAGATTATGAATTCAAATTCTCGGAGAATTTTATTTCAAAATCTCACTAAACTCATCAAAATATTGAATATAGGGAGGAGGTACCGTCATAGGAAGCTATGGGAAAACGTGGTCTTATACCATAAATAATCAGATTGCAACGAGAATGCACCTTCTCAGCGGATCTACGTAGACCACTAACTTCATGGTATGCAAAGTTTGGGCCAAATCGACTAGGTGGTTTACGGTACCAAAAAAATGTACTTCACATAATTTCTTTACATTCGATTTAATTTTGATGCCAACTTTGATACATTTTAAAATATTGACCCTTCGTGAAAAATGTAGCTAGAGATATGGGCTAGTCGTGGTCGTAAACAAAAATCGACTTTCGATTTTCGCCATTACTACAAGAGTCGACTTTCGATCGATCTTTCGATTTTGGGCAATAAATTAGAAATCGACTATCGATTTTGACTTTTTAAGCCAAAGTCGACTAAAATCGATTTTAATTTTAGACGTGTCAATGTGTTGTTCTGTCAAACAGATTACAGGACCGATTGTAAAAATACCAAATCAAAACTAAAAGCGCATTGATCGGTGTATATTATTCGGCTCGTATGAAAATGATAAAACTGCAAAAATCTATGATCTAAAAATTAAAAATCGACTACAAAATGTAGACCTTTGTGATTTTTACTACAGGCAAAAGTCGACTTTTACTTTTAGACTTTCAAAAAATGTCGGAAATAGCATCAAATTTTAGAATAAGTTTAGATTTTTAGATAAGTTTAGATTTGTTCGAATTGGTCACCTTTAGCACCAATTATGGCCTTCAAACGGCCAATGGAACCGCCGTCACGCTACCCGAATGTTGCTCTGCGGTATTTTGGCCCATTCCCGGCGAAGCGCTTGCTTGGGGTGATCGATGCATTGGTATTTTTTAGTGCCAACTTTGCTTTCCAAAATACTCCAGACACAATAGTCCAACGCTTTTGGTGGCCATTGTGCGCTGGAAATGAAGTGAGGAACCTCATTTTGTAACCATTCTTGGGGGGCGCTTGTTGAGTGCGATGGTGCTGAGTCCTCTTGGAATGTTCAAGGTCTGCGGCCAAAATGTTTGCATGCCCAAGACATTAATACACCCTCCAGAATATTTTCGCTATAATATTCGGCATTTATTCTGATGCCACGGTCGATTAATACGAGCGGAGAGCGACAGTCGGCTGTTACAGCGGCCCACACCATCACCATGGCCGGCGCTTGAGTTCAGGTGGCCATCCGAAGGTGCACATTTTCGGCAGCACTTTCGGCCAAGCGAAACAACTTTTTAGCTCTTTTGAGTCTATTTTCTTTCTGCTGCGGTGTAAGTTCTGGCACTTTTTGGAATTTCAATGGCTTTACCCCGAGCTCATTTTTCAATATTCCCCGAATGGAATATTGCGATATGTTCAGCTCACGAGCCATTTTTCGGCCACTGCGATGCGGTCGCTTCTTTACTTTTCCAACCATTTCTGCTGATGTTGCTGTTTTCTTCCGTCCACTTTCTTGACGTCGGACTTTTTCAAACTTTATGCAAGTTTGATAACAATTACAAAGATCGGATTAAATTGAATATTCGATACGCTGTAAATATAATTAAAAAATGTTCAACATTTTGACCGGATGCACCAAACGGAGTGGAACCGAATATTGGGATATTTAAATTTGTTTAAAATTTTCCATTTTACCTTCACTATTTATATAGAACTTATTATATTTTAATGTTTTCACCGATTATAAGGTGGGTACCATAAGAGATGGGTTAAAAGTTATCAGGAATAATGAGGTTGGTGCTATTAGTGACGTCAGCGTTCGGGATGCTGACGATTGGAGGTAAACGGGAGCTTCTGTGAATGGTCATCGGTCTGACGAGTGATAATTTACTTCCAGCTCCTCTGAGACGGCTTGGGCACTCGTGGTAAAAACGGTTGGGGGTCGTCCAGTTCGTCTTAGATGGTTCGCATTCGGCAGCTCACGGTAGCCGATGCCCAGGCCTTTACTGTTCGAAATTTCGAACACTGGTTTCTGGAAAAAAAATGAAATGAATCGAAAATTTTTCTTAGTAAATTTTTGACATCAATGGGCTCAAATTACCCTGAAAAAATAAATCTTTTCCAAAAATAAAAATTAAATCTCGGTACGAAATAGGTTAACAATTCTCTGAATCCTCTCACACACACAATAAATAAAAACAAATTATACTCAATATTTAGGTTTAAATCATTTTCTTATGATTTGTCAGTTATTATTTCTTTCGATTTGTTGTTCTCTTATTTTGTTCATTTAATTTTTGTTTCAACTTCAAATCATATTTGTAAATATAATAAAAAAAAATTTTCGTCATTCATTCTAATAATGACTCATTTAAACTCGAATTTCACCTCAATCCTCTGTAATTCATTTATTTTATTTAATGACCCTACCACCACCACCACCACCACCACCTACCTACCTCTCAACTCAACCTTACTACTACTCTCGTACTGCAAAATAAAAAAAATCAAAAAACAAACAAAATATCAACCCCAGTGGCCACGTTCAGGAAAGGCGTCCGAGCCGTACAGATGGTAGGACGTGCAAGTACGTATAAATTCCAAATATTAGTTATTTATGAATTATTGCAAAAAAAATATAACAAAACATTTTCTTTAAAACACACTTATAAAAAAATCAATATAAACCAAATACTAACACCCCAAACAACACCTAAATATGTCTATCTTTTAAAACTGTCTATTCTGTCCTTAGTCCATACACAAAGCGTACATACATACATACAAACATATGATTCATTGAATTAGAAATTTTTTGTCTAAGATTTGACATTTTCCTTGAGACTCTTTTCCACATTACGTATTTTTCTCTCTCTCTCTCTCTCTCTGTCTATCTCTCTGTATCAATCTGTCGAGTATCTAGTCTCCTTGATCATTGTTTCGAAATCATGTATACATTTCCTATAATCCAAAAATAAAAAAAAAAGAAATTGTTAATTTTCAAAATTTTCGTTTTTGTAAAACCATTCGTATGTGAATTCGTTTTTAATTTTTTAATATTTTTTTTAATTCTATTATTTGATGTGTACTGTTGTACTGTACTGTAGTAGTCTAAACTTAACTTCGTTCGTATTTTACTCCCCCAGATAAAAAAATACATAAATAAAAAAAAATATATATAATTAATTATTCTATGTGTTTTCAATTATACATACATATATACATATCTATACATAATGGAAATGATTTTGAAAATGTTGTTTGTTATAAAAATAAATCTCGTTCTTAATATAAAAAATACATAAATAATAATTGTCTATATATTTGTTTTTAATATAAATATTTTTGGTAAATTGTATTGAAAATCAAAGGATATGTTCAGTGTTGAAGTTTCTGTTTTTTTTAAATATAGTATAAAATATAGTAAAAGGACAAAATATTTTCCAATTTTTTTCTTGATAACTTTTAATATTTATGTTATAT